TAACGCGCTAGCATTTGAAGTAAAACTTATTGAGTTGTAGTCCGAGTGTCAACATCAACAGTGAAGTATATTTACGTCCAGTGGACGAGTCTTAAAGAGAGCGTCCTAAAGAGAATAAAACGCTCGTAATGGATTCGATTTGTGATCACTATCAAACTTCAGTAAAAAGTAGATTCGACGATTTCACATTGTGGAATAATACATCTTAGTAGGTAATTTCATTTTGATTAAAATATCCATATTTTAATGAACTGGAAAAATCTTTGTTTCGACAATGACTACTAGTAGAGTGTTTTAAGCGACATGTTTCATTCATATGAACTGAGTCTTGGGATAATTGATCGATACGATTCATTACGAATCATATAAGTCAATCAGTTTTAAGACTGACATCAATATTAAGGGTAAATACTTTATCAATATAAGTGAAAATACGTTTAAGATGTACATTGTTTTTCTCGGCCTGAGTAAACTTTGAAGGATTTAACTGACTAGTAATTCCTTGATATCCATTTCTATATAGTAAGAAAAATTAACCTAACTCCCCTAACCACGAATATAGAATAGAATGATAACCATTATCCTTATTTCCTTACAAATATATATATCATAATTCGTGGGGATTTGATTGACACTCTCAAATCAACCTTAATTTATTATGTTTTATTTTTCGGACAACTCGACGGTCGTAGTTAGTTGTACATGATATCATGTAACTGGAACGATTTCATATGTTATTTCAGAAATTACCATTACTATGGGCTTATGAAACGAATTTTAAGTAATGTCTGATTTTTAGAAGTCTACTGTTTCTTTAGAATATAAATGTTAATATATTCATCAGTTTACCATACATTATTCATTAACTGTTTATTTACCACATAGAATAAATGGTTATATGACTGGCATCAATAAAGTGTATATTTAGTGATTAAACTCAGCAAATTATAACCAGTTCAGCAATTAAATTGATATTACAACACAACTGAATGTATTTTATGTAAATCCAACAATCAGTTAGTTTATAATTCACATAAAGTTGAATTGATTCTAACCACTGTTTGATTCAAAATATGTGTCCCAGTTTTTATCCAAATTTGGTTAAAAATTGAAAACAGTTATTGGCTTTAAGATTATGTCAGGAAATAAGTTTGGTCAATAAATTCTTTTACTCTGTTCAAATGGAAATTTAGTGGTTAGCTGAAGAAGTGACCTTGAATGGTTGAAGCTCACTATAGTATCCAAAACCATTTCTCCATAATAAGAAATTTTTTCAGTGAATCTACTTATAAATTCTATAAACTAACAATCGTCTATTGGTGGTTTTTTTCACCACTTATAGTATTCATTTAATTGCTGATAACGTTCTTCGAAGTTCTCTTTGTGATAAATAAATTAAGACACTCGTCAAACCGTCAGTCATTTTCATTTTTGTCTTTATAGTAGTAGTTAATTTTAACAATCGCTTTCCTTGATTTATGTTAATTTCTATGAAACTAGAGTTCCAGTATGAATAATGAAGAATCTTCATTCTTACATAATAACATCAATACTCTTTTTTAATTCTAAAGTTTGATGGAGATTTATCATGATTCTCACCAAAAGCTGACATAATGAGAAAAATTAGTGAGAACCAGAGAGTAGTAGGCAATTTGTTTTTTCTAGTGTAAGACTTCTTAACGCTATCCATTTACAAACGAAGAGATTTAGATTATATGAGTGGTCACTAAGTTGGATTACTAATTTTGAAATTACACATCACGATTTTCATTTAATACCATTAGTGAGTTACTGTCTTACTTCCGAAATATAACTGACTCAGATTAGTTTTATATTCAGTAATGTTGCATACTGAGATGTCGCTATACTAGATTTTTTAATTTCCTTTATACCTCTGGGATTATACCATTGAAATTGTTTTCTTCTCATATCTGTAGTTTGCATCATTTGATGAAGATTCTTATATATGGATACTTCTACTGTCTTTTGAATATATTTCAGTATACACGCGAAAATGATCATGCATATTTTTGAAAAATGTGGTCTTTTAGCGGACAGGTTTCTCTGCGTACCTTTCCTTAACAACACAATACAATAGTTGAGTCAGATGAATACAGTATTCCAAACTACTCAACAAAACATAACCTTAACCTTATTTTACGGTTTTTCGTTATTGCTATTACCAATTCTTATCTAGTTCATGTATAATTAGTGATGACAAATGTTAAACATTATCGAGTTTTTGTAATAACCGAAGTTTAAAATCAAAGGCAACTCAAAATACGTTTTCTAGCAATAAAAACTTTAACAGAGTTTTGGTCTATGCATTGCTTTACCGTGAGTAAAAATATTCATTCAGGATCAAACGAATAAAAAAATTCTAGCCTGTCACCATTAAACAACATATTCTACACTTAACCAGTAATTCGTTTTCTGGTACATTGATTACTATAATGCGTAGGGTCACATTTACATTAATTTCATTTCTCGTCTTAAGTATACACTTAAAATAATTATTGCATAATCAGCACCAATGATACTTTCCACTATTTCTCACTTGGCAATGCTTTTTATAAACCAGCTAGACCTACTGTATCATCCCTCTAAACGATAACGTTAAGTTAATACTTACATAAAATAGATAGAACATAAGTAACAGTAAAATCTATGACCTATTTGGGACTCATTAGATGGATACGCCTACATCCCACACATCTATTTTATACAAACTTGTTTCATAATGACTATATCAAGAAAATCTTCACTGGTTATATAAATTTCGACCAAAACAGATAAATTTTCAGTTAGCAATGAAACAAGCCAAATCATTATAAATTAAGTTGAATTAATACTATTTAATAAGTTGGGAAAACAAATTTGAGATAATCAATATATATTGGTTTGAATTATTTTTTATGGTTAGTGTATTTTTAGCGAGTTAATTTTCTACGGAATGGGGTCGCTAACCCCATACCCAACCCTCCTCTTTTATCTAGGCTTTGGACCGGCATTAGCCCGATGGGGAATGAAAGTGGAGCTAATAAGAATATATTACCATCATCAATTTACCTGTATTTACATAGATAAGCTTAATGAATAATTTCTAATTAGATAACGTAGAAATTGACCAGAAGTATAAACATTTTATTTTTGTAATCCAAACTACTACTGGTCAGCAATTTTATTGATTGGGAATGAACAAATTTTTTAATCTTTTTTTGTAATTTCTTGATGAATAAAAACAAAATCCAACACGTTTTATTTGTCCATTTTTTTTTTACATTTTTAAAGCGGTTTTAATCACATTTTCAATGATAAAATAAACATACCACTAATTTAGATTTAAATAGATAACTACAAAATATCACAGAAAAATCAATCCCATTATTAGACCATATAACAGTAATTACAATCCCATATTACAAATAAAAAAATTAAAAAAATAAACTTAAACGTTTTATATTCATAAGGGGAAAGTAGATTATCTAAAGTGAATTGACCTTTAATGTATAAGTACATCTAGGTAATGTAGACGTATGTATAAATCGGCATAGTGCTTTAAATGGAAACACTTTTTTTTTAAGAAATGAAGGAAAGGTATATCTTTTAAAGTCACAAATGAAAATAATTTCAATCTATAAGTGGAGATTATATATTTATGTGTAAGTGTACATATGTAATTTGTTTTGGCCTGCATGGCATAGATATTATTGATCTCCCTATTAATTTATAAGATTACTGTTAAATCATGATAATAACTAGAAAAAACATAATTTACTAACTGATTAACATTGACATTATGGGATCGAAATTAATTTTAAAAATCTGTTCGCTCTGTTCTATGACGTAATGTGACATGAAAGTAATTTTCAATACATATTGACGTCACATTAAAACTAATTAGCAACCAGAATATATTGATTTATCCCAGTTTGTGACTTTCTTTCACAGACTACTGACTCTCCTACACAAAATCATGATATGATATCCAAAACTCATGAAGTTTATAACTCTGATGAGTATGTATTTATCAATTATTTTGGTTGACTAAAAAGTTAACCTGAGTATCATTCAGCATTATCGGGGACTTAACCGCTTTACAATCAATTTGCTTGTTTTTACAGAGTTACAGATCCGTACTATATCGTTGCAATAGTTTCATCTCAAAGCTAGTTGTTTTTACAGTTATTTCTAGTGGTCTAGTCTAGGTGACTTGACATTACGTGCACTATGTTGAGATAAGATGGTGGTTGGAGGTAATCAACAAAAAACCCTGGACCCTGGGACATAGTGCACGCAATGTCGAGTCACCTAGACTAGTGGCCACATTGTAACTTGGTCAATAGCATTCGATCTGCACTAAGAAGGACTTGACACACGTGACATTGATCACCACCCAGTGATCAATTAATTGTGAAGATTTCGTAATGATATCGTGCTTTACACAATATCAAACTCTCCAAAAACCCCTTGACGGCAAAAAATAAATACAAGGACAGTTTAGAAGGACAACAAATCAGGTTATCGGATATATAAAACTTGGAGGGAGATCGCAAGTGAATAAAACCATCCAGTTAGGACTAAAATCATGATATTTCAGCTGATTAATAACTAACTTAAAAATAATTGCTTGGCTAGAAAATACCTGCGCCTAATGTGTTTTTTTGATAACTAGATGCACATAGAGAATTATACTAAATATTCAGCTATTAATGCTTAGAATACTAAGTTAAAACAAATATTCTTGTCTAGTGAGAATATAATTATATATCAAAACTAGTCAGATCTAGTTATTTTATTTATAAGTATTTATTACACAATTGTTTAAATGTCCAGTCACTTCAACGGATCAGATTAACTTTTTCGAGAATACCTAATTAAGCATATTCAAAATGCAAGACTAACTGTAGTTTAATAAACATCTGTAACTAGATGAATAAATTTTCATAAAATGAACTTTTCTATCATATAATTATCAAGTGATTATTATTACTTTCTAGGTATATCCTTGGTCTCCAGCTTTTGGTTGGCTTGAGATTGGAGACGAAATTCTAGAAATTGAAGGTCATTTAGGTACCGAATTAACAGAACAAGAATCTTATTCACTTACTGAATTGAAAAGTAATTATCTACGTCTTGGAATTCGACGGTAAGTTAAGAGAAAACTTATTATATTCCATTGAATAGATTTAATATAACCTGTACATTTTAGCAAGTATCATGAGGAAATAATAGATGAATCTAATTAATAATTTAACAAAAGAACTCGGTGATAAAAAAACGTTTCATCGATTTTTTTTCATATTTTTCAGGTTTTAGAAAAATCCAACGTTATATAAATAATCACTGAAAATCCCAGTAAATCGGAAATTTGTTTAATTCTCGTTTGAGATTCTACTGCTTAACATAGAGCTTTTGCTTTGTTCCGTTCAAAAATCATAGACACGTAGACAAAAATTTAATAAACTAGAAAAAACGCTGTGGATCGTGCCAGTTCCTGTTGTCTAAAATGCTTAAAAACTTCATAACTATTAGGTTGACATAGACTATGAGCGATTATGGTTGTTTCCTGTAACGACATATCAAGAAAGGTAATGGTACTAAATACAGATAGGACCTAAACTACTGATACATCTAATATAAAAAAATGCTGCGCTCTACTATAAATTCGCACAGAGAACGATATATTCCGCCATTAAGATATCCACAGAGATGGCAAGTAGAAAAATATGTCTATTGTCTCAATCCATAAACGTTTGACATTCACACCTTCCTGTATAATTCAAAAAGAGAATTATTTGAAATGAGAAAGGTTCATTGATCCCTAATCTGAAGCTCATTAGTCTTAATCCATAGGCCTAAACAGTACAATTACTTGTTACAACCAACAAGGTGAGTTAGTTGATCTGCGTAGATATTTAGTGTAAAAAGTAGGTCAAATGAATTATTCTAGAGAAAAAAATTAATGTTGAAATGGCCTAATTGTTTTCAAATGATATAAATAATCTTCAACACTCAATTGGTACGATGAACTATTTTTGTATACATTCCATTATAATATAGTTAATCCCTATAATGGACATTTAAGAAATGAATTAGATTTCTAACCATCAGATAATTAATGAGTTAGAACTTTTCTATTTTAGTAAAGTAAGATTGATAATAAACTACTTTTAACTTGTATTCAAGTAATTTATGATATCGTTGAGATTATATGGAATACAGTACATTTTCAGTTTAAAAAATGCTATTCATTTTTGCATTCATGTTTTGCTTTTTTTTAAAGTAATTGCTTTGCACACAATTTTTGGTAGTTACCACTCAGAATAATCTATCCCATATTATAGGTCTACAGAGAACATAACAAAATGTACTTAACACAATATGGAATTTTGTTAGTTATGTGTAATGTAAATGAAAAGTTTACATTCATTTTTTATGATCCATTTTGTATCTTTGATGGTCAAATATTGTTATTTATACTGAATATGTTTATTGATAAGTTCAAACTGATATATTAAATCATAAAAACATTAAGTTGACACTTTTACTATTTTTCATACTATCTAACTTTTTATTATTTTCCTATAAATTATTCATTATACGGAAATAAAGGTTATGAAAAGTTTCTTAGCTATGCAAACACTAAGTTGTTTCATTTCTGAAATAAATTGTTGTTTTGAATATATAGTCTTGTTTTTTTTTATTCATAGTTATCTGAGAAGACATTTTTTAGGATTGGATAAGGCGGTTCTAGCAATGATTTTTTATATTTTAACCAAAAAAGAGATTACTAATAGTACTAATTCAGTATACTAAAAACTGAGTTTGTTCACCCTTAAACTTTGAAAACTCATCCACAAGTATTAACGATCAAATAAATTCATTCGTCGATAGCGGGATTTATCATTTATGCATTCTCAGTTGGCCCGGCTCGCTTTTTATTCATTTTTCTCTTGTTCTTGCAGTTACTACCATTTCAGTGTCCAATAAATGTTATGTGTTTGTAATCCTTTTTCTGTTGACATTGTATTTTACCAACTAAAAAAATAGAACAGTCAAAAAAATAACGATCTAAATTTAAAATATTATTACATTTCATTAACCTTATTTACTTACTTACGCCTGTTACTCCCAATGGAGCATAGGTCACCGATCAGCATTCTCCAACCCAATCTGTCCTAGGCCTTCCTTTCCAGTTCTATCCTATTTTTGTTCATTCTTCTCATGTCTGTCTTCATGTGTCCTTTTGTCTTCCTCTTTTCCCTTGGCCTTGAAGACCCCATGTGAGGGCTTGTCTTGTGACACAGTTGGGTGCTTTCCTCAATGTATGTCCTATCCACTTCCAGCGCTTCTTCCTAATTTCTTCCTCCGCTGGGATCTGTTTTGTTCTTTCCCACAGTTGTTTGTTGCTATTAGTGTCCGGCCAACGGGTCCGAAGTATTTTGCCTAGACAACTGTTAATAAACTCCTGTATCTTCTGTATGGTGGCTTTCGTATTCTCCAGGTTGCCACCCCACACAGGAGAACTGTTTCGACATGTGTATTGAAAATTCTGACCTTGGTGTTGACAGACAGTTGTTTTGAGTTCCAGATGTTCTTCAGTTCTAAATATGCTACTCTTGCTATTCCTATCCGCGCCTTCACATCTACATCAGATCCACCGTGTTCACCGATGATGCTGCACAGATATGTAAATGTTTTTACATCTTCCAAATCTTCTCCGCCAATTGTGGTTGGATTGGTGCATGCTGCGTTGAATCGGAGAATCTTGCTTTTCCCTTTGTGTATATTGAGATCTACTGCTGCTGAGGCTGATGCTACACTGGTCGTCTCCCGCATTTGTTGTTGCGTGTGCGATAGAAGATCCAGATCATATGTGAAGGCTAGATCGTCCAGCTGTATCCTAGCTGTCAACTGTATCCCGTGCTTCTCTTCAGATGTTGACGTCTTCATGATCCAGTCAATCGCCAGGAGAAAGAGAAAGGGTGAGAGTAAGCAACCTTGCCTGACACCGGTCTTTACTTCAAACGAATCTGTGAGCTGTCCTCCATTCACGATTTCGCAGTTTAATCCATCATAGGAATTCCGTATGATGTTGACTATCTTCTAAGGCACACCGCAGTATCGAAGAAGCCTTGATAGTGTTGTCTTGTCCACTCTACCAAATGCTTTCTCGTAGTCAATGAAGTTGATGTAGAGTGATGAATTCCATTCAATTGGTTGTTCCACAATGATCCGTAAAATCGCGATGTGGTCTGTACACGATCTATCCTTACGGAATCCTGCCTGTCGGTCTCGAAGTTGGGCGTCTGAGTAGTCCATCATCCTGTTTAACAACACCCTGCTGAAGACAATTTCCGGTATTAGGAAAAGAGTGATGCCTCTGTAGTTATCACACTTGCTGAGATCGCCTTTCTTTGGTATTTTGATCAGAAGTCTTTCTTTCCAGTCTCTTGATACTCGTTCCTCATCCCAAATCTTATTGAAGAGAATATGGAGTATCCTTGCAGTTACCACTACATCTGCTTTCAGTGCCTCTGCTGGAATGTTGTCTGGCACTGCTGCTTTGCCACTCTTGATTTGTCTGATGGCCATGCTGATTTCTTCAATTGTTGGTGGGCCAACATCGATTGGGAGTTCCGTGGGTGCTACTTCGATGTTGGGTGGGTTCAGTGGGGCTGGTCGATTCAGGAGTTCTTTGAAGTGTTCTACCCACCTGTATCGTTGTTCTTCAATGTTGGTGATTACCTTGCCTTCCTTGCTTTTCACTGGTCGTTCTGGTTTACGGTGATTTCCAGAGCGTTCCTTTGTTATGTCATACAGTTCTCTCATGTTTCCTTCTCCTGCAGCCTTTTCCACCGTCATTGCTAAATCTTCCACATATTTACGTTTGTCAGTTCTGACGCTCCTCTTCACTTGTTTGTTTACTTCTGTGTATTCAGCTTGTGCCTTGGCTTTTTCTGCTCTTGTTCGGCTGGTATTGATTGCTGCCTTCTTGTCCCTCATTTGCTGAATCTTATCCAGTGTATCAGCAGAGATCCATTCCTTGTGATGGTGCTTCTTGTGACTCAGGACCCCGTGACATGTTGAAGTGATTGCCTCTTTGATCCCTTTCCAGTTTTTCTCCATAGTAGTTCCCTCTCCATTGAGTAGATCATGAAAGACCTGGAACTTATTGCTGAGGGCTATCTTGAATTTGTTGAGTTTGTCAGTATCCCGAAGAAAAGCCGCATTAAACTTTTGTGATATTTTCCGCCCCGTTGTCCAGTTCTTCTTGCGTTTCGGTCTAATCTTGTGATGATATGATGCTATATCAGTTCCTCTCTTGGTTCTCATATCTTCCATCGTCCTCCTAAACTTTGTGTTGATGCAGGTATGGTTTTGTGTAGTATGATCCGGTGAAGTCCATGTGGTTTTGTGAATGCGTTTATATGGGAATATAGTGCCACTCATGACCAGTTTATTGAAGGCACATAGGTTTGCACATCTCTCACCATTTTCTTTCCTTTCTCCCAGTCCGTGTCGTCCTATAATGTCTTCATATCCGGCGTTGTCCATTCCAACGTTGGCATTTAAATCTTCCACCAGAATAGTCAGGTCTTTTGTTGGGCACTTCTCGACGATGGACTGAAGCCTATCGTAGAATTGATCTTTGGCGTCTTCATTGTAGTCGTTGGTAGGCGCATAGCATTTGATGACGTTCATTGAACTGCCCTCTTTCTTTGTTTTGAAGGAGGCTTTGATGATCCTTGGTCCATGAGATTCCCATTCTATAATTGCATCTCGTGCTTGTTTGGACAGCACCACTGCAACTCTTTGTGTATGTGGGGCATTTTCTTCTTCATGGCCGGAGTATAACAGAAGCTCCCCTGAAGCTAGTCGTTGTTGTCCAACTTGCGTCCAATTTCATTAACCTACCTAATAAGTATAAAACGTTAGATAGGATATATTTTGTTTAAATAGTAATGCGATCGAATAACCACAAAACATTTGACGTACTATGAAAGTATTCATGAAAAGATTTGAAAACAAAGAAACTTGATATTTTAAATGAATTACAGGTTAGCCTATAACTTAACAGATCAAGATTATAAACAGTCGAATGGGTTATCAAAAGTTTAAATGATGTATAACCATAAAACAAATTGAATATTACCCTTTATAAAAATCCTAAAATATTATTTCTTTACTGATTTTTATCAAATGAAAATAACTTTTGAAAATACATCTTAAAACCAATTTTGGTAAATATTGTTATGTTCAACATAATTGTTTTCTTTCTGATGTTAATTCTTTTTCAGCTTACCAATGTTTAGTAATCAGTATATGGGAACAAGGCCAACTTCTAGAAATCTTTCAAGAGCTGCCAGTACAACAGTATATGGTCAATCTGGACCATATTCTAGACTTAATGCAGTGAGTTTTTTTTAAAAATAATATTGGACTTAAATTCTTTTTATATGAATTAAATAACATTAATTTCCATAGTAGAATTTTATTTCAACATAAGAAGGCTTTAAAACAGGCAATTTTCAAATAAAACCTGTATCTTTTGAAATCGGATTTATGTACATGATATATTTAGCCATATTTTCTCTATAGAATCCTTTTGTCTTATAATAAAACTATCAAAACAAATGTTTTTCTTATCTTAATTTGTTATTTAGAATGACTGAACTCTATAAATTAGTAAACGAGACTTGTTGAATTCATAGTTGTAGTTAATCGAGGTTACACTTAAGTTTCAGGGTGTATAGAGACGTTCCTAATTCATAAAATGGTGTACAGTGGCATATCCAGCAACTATTCACAATTTGTTTTTCAGTCTATTTCATATTATAGTTTTTTTACAGTTATAGATGGTGATTTATGTATGATTTGTACATTACCAATCAAGTGAAGCTGGAAAACTCTTAAATTTGAACTCAATCACTGAATAGTATCATCCCTGTCATGAGACTGGCACTCTCTATGCAATATGCGGTCAGGCTAAAATAATGTACAACTACAAATAATTTTTTATGTATATTATGCCTCTTGGAATAAAATTTCATTTCATTATTCATCCCTGTGAAATGTCAGTTAGTTTAAGCGCTTTTTTAAAGATTTTACATGGATACTAAATGTACATATAAAATCCTATAATAAATACCACTTCAGAAATGAGATCAGATTATTAATAACAGCGTAAAAATGTATTCTAAAACCATTAAAGTAAAAAGACTAATACTGTAGTATAGTTTTTACTTAAGAAACATTTTTAATGATGAATTATTCATTTGCTACAAAATAATTCTCATTACTACTATGTTTCACAGTCAGTATAGGCAAAGTCAGGGATGACATTTATTATTTTAATTAATTTTTATTTAAATGTTAACTCTTCATACCAATAATTGTAACATTCGGTCTTAGGTAGGTGTGAGTTTAGCCTAAAGATACTTTGTGAACTGAAGGACAATTAATAAGTGAATCTGGAAAAGAACAGGAAAAAAGTAAGGATATATCTTGTTAAGCAAATCGAATTTACTTACATTTAATAAGGATGACAATCTACTGCAATTAGCATTAATATAGGCATGAGATTAAGATACCCTGGTAATTTTAGTTAAGAATTCCATGATTAAAATTTTAAATGAGATACACATTTAGCACTCAAAGAAAATCTAAAATTTTTAAAAAATATTGAATATATATGAAAGTGTGCAATTCATTTGCTTTGTTTTGTATTTAATGACTTAGCAACAACCTCAACAGAAACCAGTAAATGCCAAAGATAATAATGATGTTGAACCAGAAGAAGTTGATTACAGTTTTATGAATCTACCAGTTCGTGAAAGACGAAAACTTTTTCTTGGTGGAGGCCAACCGCCTAGTATTCAAAGAGGTTATCTACATTCATTAACAAGTGAGTTTAATACTTGAACAATAATTATTTTGTTTTATTGATTAACACTGTAAATGTTAACTCTTTTTGTATCAGTTAAAAAATACAGTGATTACAAAACATGATAAGTGAAATAATCATTATAGGAAAAAGGACATTAAATACTTATGAGAAGGAATAACAGTCAATATTGTTGGAGTTCATTCATAGCACTATGAGTGTAAATCGCTTGATTACTATCCAGTCATCGTTGTTATCCTAATTTAGATAATACATAGCTCTATAATAACTACATTATAATGTAGTTTATTACTTGACACCTTACTTTCTCAAAGTTATATTAGTTATATTGGTTCCAAATTAAAAGTATGCTATAGCTTCAAAATATACTTTTACCGAACTACTTTTTAAAACTATAACGATTACACTATTATACTAGATAGGAACAAAACTAGAAAAACAGTCCTAAAATCAATTCATAAGTTAAAAATCTTTATGTCACTTGGAATATAAAGGTGAATAGGTATTTAAAATGTTTTACTAATCACTATGAAAACACATTATTATTATCATTTAAACGTTTTTCTGCCGTCGCTGTGTTCCTAAACTGATAAACAGTTTTTCCATCTATGAGCTTTCTAATAAGCTATTTGTTTGGTCGAAAAAATTAAATGTAATCAATGAAGTGACTTATAAGTTTGAATAATCAGATTCGAGATAGTTGTATTTACTTTTTAATTACCAAATATATTGCATACGAAAATGAACTTATGAGAAACGTTTATCAAATAACGTTCCTAATGAAAACACATAACTGATTGTTACACAAATAACATGTTTGAATACACTTACTTACTTACGCCTGTTACTCCTCATGGAGGAGCATAGGCCGCTCGCTAGCACTCTCCATCCAACCCTGTCTTGAGCAATCCTTTCCACCTTCTTCCAGTTGCTATTCATCCTTTTCATGTTTGCTTCCAATTCCCGACGTAGCGTGTTCTTCGACTTTCTTCTTTTTCGTTTACCTCAGGATCCCAAGTTGGGGCTTGCCTCGTTATGCAGTTTAGTGATTTCCGTAATGTGTGTCCAAACCACTTTCAACGTCTTTCCCTAATTTACTTTTCAGCTCGGGGCTGGTTTTTTCTCTCCCACAGTTGGCCAACGGACATTCAGTATCTTACGTAGACAATTTTTTATAAATACTTGTACCGTTTTGATGATAGTTGTGGTAGTTCTCCAAGTTTTAGCTCCGTACAGTAGGACTGTCTTGACGTTCGTATAGAAAATTATGACTTTGACATTGGTTGACAAATGTTTTGAGTTCCATATGTTCTTCAACTGTAAGAATGCTACCCTTGTTTTGCCAATCCTCGCATTTATGTCTGTATCTGATCCTCCATGTTCATCGAATATGCTACCCAGATACATGAAACTTTCCACATCTTCCAGAATTTCTCCATATTTCAATACAGCAATACGACAATAAATAAATTTATTGATTTCTCTGTCTATATAACATTACATTAGTTAAAATAGATTAGAAAAGGAAATGCTTTAAAATGAATATGATACCTATAATCATGTTCAATGATTATTCAATCATCCTCTTATAGTTTCTAATTGTGTATAGGTATGTGCATCTATTAATGTATAATGTAGATAAGTGTATGTATTCATGATATTATTATATACAAAATGATAAAAATATATTGAATTTATTCAATGCTTTTTTATAAGAATTCAATAGTTTTGTTTAAATGTGTTAAATTATGCTTTATATGTTATATACACAGAAATAAATAATACAATTCATCATTCTATAGTCAATCTAATAAACTTTGATATTTTATCTTTAAGTATCTTTGGGTGAATCTGTATGTATATCTAGGACACAAATATAAATGCACAAGAACACATTCAATATTGATGTATATAAGAAGAAGTATAGATTAGTATAGAATATGGTAAATAGTATAACTTAGTGCAAGTGGAGGATGGAGGAGGAATTAAAAGACATTGAAGAAAAGAATACATTCAGTAGCATTATATAATTTCTTTTTTAATATATTAAGAATAAATGAATAAATATTAAAAAAAGAAATTGTCCTTTTCAAACAATGAGATATATATATATATGTTTGTGTATATTCATGCAAGTAAATACTTGATATTTAAAATAGTTAACATGGAATTTTAAATGTCATTTACATTAATCTATATATATATATATTAAAACTATATGCGTAATGTGAATTTCTTGCAATGTACATCTAAAATGAGGACAAGATAAATGTATAAATGTATAAAAATTATTGTTTTTTTTTCAAGATGATATCAACGTCATAACTTTCTAAGATTTCCATTTGTAATAGAAATAGTCTTCAATTTGAATGGATTCAATATTCTTTTATTGATTTATTCAAAGTGATTAAGTTAGTTTTGTTGATATTTGAACTTTTTTGAATAGAGGCTTCAATATTCTATACCATATCATATGAAAATTCATGATGAAAGATAATGTTTCAATGATAAATCCAAATCAATAATAATAATTTAATAGTTAAACTCATGAGTCGATTGAAGCTCGATCACTATGGAAAACCCAAAAGCACTGGACGGCGGTTTCGTCCTAGTACAGGACTCCTCGGTAGTGCATATCCATGATCCGGCCTCTCGAGATTTGGACCTAGGACCTGTCAGTCTCGCGAGAGAGCACTTAACCACTAGACCACCGGTGTTAATGGTTAACTTCAACCAATCCATGAAGTTGCACCACCATCCACCATTGTCTTCAGTGAGTTACTATCTTGCAACAGACCTGGTTGAGATTCACTGGTCACGGCTTCTTACTAGAACTCCAGGAAATACTTCTTGGAGACTGTCATCAGTGAGCATATGATGATTATAGTCAGAGAGGGATTTTGTGAATATTATAGTAATTTAATAATTGAATTCGTGAGTCATTAATATTAAATCACAAAACTAGAATAACTTAACTTTTCATTTTATTGACTTAATTTCCAAAGTATATCGGATAAAAAATTAACATTTTCTTTATAACTTTCTGAGTAAAACTACTTAATAATACAAGTAATATTTTAAATGATAAGAATCCTACTGTCAATACTTCATTATAACAACTATTGTGGGATTTAAAGACCGCCAGATATTTATTTATATACTACTCAAATCACATCAACCAGTTTATACAATAGCCACCAGTTTAAATGACTCTATAACGTAGTGGTTGTAGATATTCGTTTAAAAGCCTTCGACTTCTGTGTAATATTAGCATACTTTAGCTAGGCGTACCTCTGCGACAGTATTAATATTTCAGTTCTTTGGAAAGCAACTCATTGTCGGAATAGATCACCACTTCAAATAATGCGAGTTAGGATCTATAGGGAGCATCAATTTCATTAGGATTCTCAAAGTGCCTTGCTAATGAGTGACAATTGGGATCACATATAGGTTCAGTATGTCCTACCTTTTGAGTTTAACCAGAATATAGATACATACTTATTTACATACTATAAATCCCGACCGTTGTTGCTACCTTGACGTGGTGGTCGGGCTTGTCCATCGTGATGAAGCAACCGAGCTATACTGGCTGGAACAACTGTTCCTCAAGGTCCTACCATGTCAGACAGGTCGGTTGAAGAGCGGTAAGACTAAAAGCAACAAACCCAGAGTCCAAAGGCGAAGTCGTACTGCTGACTGTACAGAGGTGTGACAGCAGTAAGGTGTTTCCTTCAGACAACCAACATGACAGCGATGCTGCCTTCCCACAAGGAGGGGTGGGGTTAGAAAAGGTCGACCCTAAAAATGCACACCTCGCCTTATCTCACGGATATCCGTCTCCGGCGGTAAGGTCTCAACAAGTACGGAGCTAACACAAAAATTACCCATAAAAAGGTCGTGTGTGACCGACCTCAAGCAGTTGTCTCTTGGGCACTGCGGTCACGCTCCCAGGTCACTAAGACCACCTCTAATCCAATTTCCTTTTCAGGTACCTCCAAAAGAACCATTCCACGGTGTGGGCAACTGGGGAAGTGATAACCGCCCTCATACTTCTAACAGCACTCAAGACCACTGTATTCATAATCAACCTCCGTCTTCACTTCCTATTATTCCTACTACATCGACTTTCACCTCTAAACTTCCTTTTTCGGCTTCCCCCTCAAGTGTCACCATAGCCAACGATTCTAGTGCTCAAAACTCTTTCCCAGGTCTACTGAAACCTCGCTCCAAACTACACATTAGATCCTTCAACGTACGCACACTATGTCAAATCGGTCAGCAGGCTTCCTTGGCTAAAACCCTAGAGTCTCTTTCCATTGATATATGCTGTGTCTCTGAAACACGCATACAGGATCCCAGTGTGGTCATTCACTTGACCTCACCTCGGCAAAACGGAGAGCCAACGAGATACACCCTCGGTGTATCTGGTGACCCGATGGCCAGCTCTCGTGGACTGGCAGGAGTAGGGATAGCATTAAGCATGAGAACGGAAAAAGCACTGGTAGAGTGGATCCCCGTTGACAGTCGTTTATGTGCTGTTCAGCTAAACGGCTCCGTAAGAACTCGGAAGGATAGGGACACACGTCGCTGTCTTTTTGTCTTTTCTGCCTACGCTCCCACTGACTGCAGATCGGATGAAGTGAAAGATGAATTTTGCAAAAAGCTATCTGAACTTTTTCAGAAGGCTAAACGTTCAGACATAATACTCGTAGCAGGTGATTTTAATGCCCAGATAAGTAGTTTAAACCAAACAGAAAGGCATTAAGGTGGATATTTTAGTATTCCAGCACAAAGAACAGATAATGGTGATCGTCTGCTGCAACTGTGCTCAGACAATCGCTTATTTTTAGCAAACACAAATTTTAAGCATAAGGAGAGATATCGTCTAACATGGAGACCCCCTACACCAAACAAACGATGGACTCAAATAGACTATATTGCCATCAGTCATCGTTGGAGAGGGTCGGTAGAAGATTGTCGCTCATTCTGGAGTACCTGCTTGGACTCCGACCATGCCCTAATACGGGCACACATCTGCTTGCGCCTCACTGGACGCAAAAAAGCCACAGTAAAAAGACCCGTTAGAACTGAGTTGAGTAGCGAAGAAACCAAAAGTAGGTTCCAGGAACAACTGAGGTCACACTTAGGTAGTTCTGAAAACGAGGCTGGCTCAGATTTTGCTTGGAAAGCTATACAAACAGCTGTGGAAACAGCAGTGACATCTATCAGTAATTTAAACCACAGGGTTACAAAGAACCAATGGATTTCCTCAAGGTCTACTGCACTGATGGATTCTCGTAAACTCACCCCATCAGGCTCTGAACACGATAAAGAGCGACAACAAATCAGATCTAGGTTAACCAAAAGTCTAAGGAACGACCGTGAGCAGTGGTGGGCAACGAAAGCAAAAGAGATGGAAAAGGCGGCGGTTATAGGGAACACAAGACAGCTCTACAGACTAATAAAACAAACGGGAATTAATAAGTCAAGTGTAAGTCAGACTATTTCGGATAAAGACGACACCCTCATCTGCTCTCAGTCCAGACGTTTAGAACGATGGGCGGAACATTTCAGAGAACAGTTCAGCTGGCCTTCAGCTACTCTACAACTACCCTCCATTCCCAGACAGTGTGAGTGTAACATCGAAGTAGGTCCCCCAACTCTAGCAGAAGTTCAAAAGGCTATAGTTAATCTAAAACGAGGAAGGGCAGCTGGTCCAGATGGATTGGCTCCAGAGGTCTTTAAGGATGGTGGTCCAATTTTAGCGATTAGGTTGACTAATATTTTAGCTAAGATCTGGGAGTTAGACGTTATCCCATCTAACTGGTCACAATCACTTATCGTCCCAATATATAAGAAAGGGTCAAAATCATCTTGTGACAATCACAGAGGGATTAGTTTAACTAATATAATATCTAAAATACTAGCTTCGATAATTATCAGACGCCTAACTAAGACTCGTGAACTGCAAACACGAGAGAATCAAGCTGGCTTCAGACCTGGTCGTGGCTGCATCGACCACATATTCACCATTCGTCAGGTTCTAGAGCATAGGCATACTTATCGGCGTCCGACAATGGTGGTCTTTCTTGACTTAAAAGCAGAATTTGACTCGGTAGACCGCGAGATTCTGTGGCAGTGTCTGTCATCGAAAGGCGTACCTCGGAAGTACATAAACCTTGTGAAGGCTCTTTACTCGAACACTACTAGTCGAGTCAGAGCTTATGGCGAACTGTCATCTACTTTTGTAACCTCAAGTGGTGTCCGTCAAGGCTGTCCACTTTCTCCATTTTTGTTTAACTTCATCATAGACCTATTCATGGAAATAACACTCTCGTCGACTGAATTCTCGGGCATTAATCTACCAGGAGGTCCACTTATCGACTTAGAATACGCAGATGATATAGTCCTGTTTGGTGAAGACGCTGACAAAATGCAGAGTCTTCTGGTAGCACTGAGCAACAATGCCAGAATGTTTGGAATGCGCTTCTCTCCCTCTAAATGCAAGTTGTTGCTTCAGGACTGGTCTGCATCAACACCTGAACTAAGGATAGTGAGTGAAGTAGTCGAACGCGTCGACAACTTCACTTATCTTGGAAGTCTGATCAGCCCTAATGGGTTGGTGCCTGACGAAACCTCAGCACGGATTCGAAAAGCTCGTTTGGCTTTTGCCAACTTACGTCACCTATGGCGAAGGCGAGATATCCGTCTATCAATAAAAGGACGAGTATACTGCGCGGCAGTTCGTTCTGTTTTACTTTACGGCAGCGAAACATGGCCATTAAGGGTAGAAGACACTCGTAAGCTACTAGTATTTGACCACAGATGCCTTAGAAATATTGCTGGGGTCTGCTGGGATCACAGGGTAAGTAATAGTGAGGTTAGACGCAGGGTATTAGGGAATGATGGTAAATCAGTTGATGAGGTTATGAATCTTCATCGACTGAGATGGTTGGGCCACGTGTTACGTATGCCTGAACACCGACTACCACGACGTGCAATGCTATCCGGTATTGGAGATGGTTGGAAGAAAGTTAGGGGCGGCCAAACCAAAAAGTGACATCAGTGCATGAAGTCACTAACTTCTAGTCTGAGCCATGTTGGTAGATGCAGACTACTTGGTTGGGGTCCGCGTGACTATCGTAACCAATGGTTGGAGACTCTTGGTGATATGGCTCAGAATCGATCACAATGGCGTGGGTGTATACACTCCCTGTCTTCCCTTAAACTAAGAGATTAAAATCACATCATATCTTTCTTTCTACGAACTAATTCTTTCTTTGTGTACTATATCCTTATTGCAATCTCTCTTTTATATATTACCACCTCTGAATTAACTACTTTTATGAACCCGGTGTTCATCTTGTTGTGTTAATAATGTAAGGCACCTTGGACCGATGCATAAATGTGCCTGGTCCTACTTTGTAGCTGACTGACTGACTGACATACTATAAATATGCATCTGTAGTTCTAAAATAGTTAGCATTTAAATTTTTCGAATAATCATTATTTCGAGTCATATTTACATCGGTAAAATACAGTGTTTTGAATAATTACGTTATTATAAGAGGTGAAATGATAATGATTATTATGTTAATTTTTATTCATGTCCAGTGCCAAGAAAAAGAAACGATGTAAACAATTTTCATAATCGATATGAAACTCAATCGGAATATGGTGGAACAGATCATAACTTTGGATGGGATGCTCCAGTAACACCAACATGGGTTAGAGAAAATCGTACAACCAATACCAGTGAACCAGTAAAATCAAGATCAACTAAAACATTCAGTTTGTCTACAATGCCATCAGAAAAATCATTTCAACAGGAATTCACTCAATACGTTGCTGGACCAGCTTCACCTCGTTACAATCAGGTAAATTAACAGACTATTGATTTTGTAATTGGATGTCATTATTTTTTGTGAAATTCATATCTCTCGTAATAAATATTACTTTATTGATACACAATTTATTGAAAATGGATGTTTTAGACAGCTTGTGAGATAAATTCATACGAATACGATTACTTCGAAGTTTCTTATAACTATCATTATTAAAATTTAAACTAATTGGAATGAATGGATTTATACGGTTTGATTGGTAATATTCATTGGTAATGCGTTTATCTAAAATACGGAAAACTTAGATGTGATATAAATATATTTTCTGATAGACCACATTAACTGGTGTTCAATAAACAAATCAAATAGCTAGCTACCTATAATTATTAACTGTTTACATTATACTAACAGTAAATTTCAAAACTTTGGTGTGTACTATAGGAAAATCTGTTATTTAACAAGGTAGTGCATTTATGCAATGTAAAATCTGGTCACAAATAGTTCGATGAAAGAAAAAGTTATTACTTTGCTGAGTAACACAAGTTCCAAAATTTCATAGCTCACGAAGCTGACGTTAAAGGATTCCTGCTATTTATGAAGAATAAAGATGATGGGTTTGTATCTTAATATGAATTATGAAAGAATAAATTAATGATTGAGGCTCAAATAGCCTTCTAATTATTCCAGTAACAAACTAGATATGATCTTCTGGTAATTTCCTGTCAAAAACTGACATCACTTTTAAACTTGGTTGTTAATTTAATAATAAATTTTGATGTTAAGTTATGCAAAAGAGATTTTGACAGCCAACAATATTTATTGAAGTTTTCAATTCGAACCAATAGTGAATCCGCTAAATCATGAATTTACTTTAAATTTCAAGATACAGTACTCCATTGATTGTATATGTGTTATATCTAGATGCTTATATTCTTGATTTGACGAGTATAAGTTGAGCACTAAAATGCTAGAACCCTTCCAAGTCGCAATGAGAAGACAGAAGACTGGTGAAAGGAATGTTATTCCAGACAGTATCAAGTTATAGTACAAAGCTGTCAGGTATTTATAGTTTTTATTAAAAACGAAATCGTCATTATAGCTATCCAATTCGCACACGGGAGGTTATTAGCATTGTCCAATCGGGAAGCTACACGTAGAAATTCCAGAATATTTTTCCAAAAATGATTGGATGGAATATCTTCGGCTCTTTCTGAGCTTCTTAAGGCTTCCTCGAGTTCACCCGTGGACCATCCTCACAATATGTTTCGAAAAACAGTAGTAAATTGGTATGCTTTATTATTATGTGTAACAGTACTTCATGGAATCAATAACAAAGCACCTAAAGAGCAGAATTACTCATACGCTCTTTTAACGTATATCAAATAAATAATTCCTTTTTTTCATTAAATTAGTGAGATTTGTAAGGAACATTACAATTCATAGTTATATTTCACTATATTACCACATAGTACGTATTGCATTTCATATACTATTCAAGAGTGCAACTTGAACAAATTATGGACAAAATAGACAAAAAATCTTATTTCAAATTTTTATAATACAACATGCTTTGTTGTACGTATAGTAAAGTATAAAATGGAATGTATAGTGTGCTTTTTTTCTCTCAGATATAAGAAAAATATCCATATACTCTGCTATCAGACTACTTATCTAACCTTGTTATTAATGTCCATTGTTTTCTTTGCATAGCTTTCTATCTTTGTAGCTACTTTTCAAATAAAGCTATATATATACTTCTTATCTTATGCATATATTGTTAGAGTTAACTTGTTGATATATGACCTAAATTCATGGACATTTAGGATAAAATTTGATTATCTTTGCACCTTTTGTTTAGGCAGATAAGAAAATTTATGTCTGTAACCAAAGTTAAATGTTCCCATCCGTATACCCATAAATTGGACTGATTTATATCAACTTTTGTGACCGTTTACTTTGTTGAGTTTAAAAACACAGTGATTTACATATATCATTGATTTTACATAATACATATACTGTTTATGTGTTTTCTGGTACATTGTACTGATCAGTTTGTATGTACCATCTTCGTTAGGTGTGGTGAATAGAAAAAAAAATTGACTTAGTTTTCTTGTTATTCATTTACCAGTTCATGAACAGTGTCGTATTCGGTTTTAGTCTTGGGACTCTACTGGGTTGGTTATAATACGTAGTGCATTATTGCAAAACTATAATACAGTATTTTCGTGGAGTTTTGTTCTCTGAGGTAGACACCAAACCCTATATGAAATTATTAGTTGACCATCTCACTTATTTCAGTGTTTTATCAGTCATGTTTTATATTTGGTTTCAAAAATGTCCTATCTAAATGTTTTTAATGATCACAACTATTAGCGTTCAAAGTGAGTAATCATTCGATCTAAATTGAATAAAGATAAACTTAGCTACTTTCATAAGAAAACAAAATATTCAATGACTGAGAGTGGAAAATAAACATCCTCAGACTTAGACTTCGTATTACTTGAAATTCTTTCTGAAGGATGATATCAATAAAATCACGAAAATAGAGCAGATCACTTATAATTCCTGGGTTTTTTGTGATTACTCCCAGCCACCGAACACTAGTGCCAGTATAATGGGAGTGTGTAATTATTCGGCTAAGTGGTACTGTAGTGAACGAGAACACAAGTGCTGACAGCCAAATGCATTTTGAACAAAAAATTACAGAACACCTTAGTAAAATATGAGAACCATACAATGAACACTTAATTTGCAAAATGTCAATCAATTGTCTCAAACTCGACTGTTCTTCTTTCAAATTTCAGTCAATCATCTCATACTTTATTGTTCCTGCATTTCCATACCAATTGCTTTCTGTTCTCGTCCTTTCCTCCTCGATCTTCTTGAGATTCTGCTTCCAGACTAGAGTTATATACAACATTATATAAGTAGCACACACCACAGTACCATCGAAAATTTAATTGGCAGATCTCGATAAACAGTGATTAAGAGACATAAAATATAAGTTGTTTAATCGAATACAACATGGTTTAAAAAGTTAATTCTATATAGCATTCGTATCAGCATTTAGATTCGCTACACAGTTGATCACAAACTGCGGTCTATTATTAACCTAGAACTTTAGTAAGATTATTCGAAATTAATGGGTTTAAATAACCTGTATTATATATCAAGCTTTGCTCAATTGCTTGATCGTAATTATAAATTTTATTGAATCAGTATTTGTTTTAATTTATACAAAATTTTGATAAGGAAGAAAGTCATTACCTAAACCAATTTTTATTGAAACTTACTGCTTACAGAGCCCACCTGCTACTACAAACTATTTCAATACTGTGCAACCAAAATCTAATTATAAACAAAACTATCCTCAATACTCTGCAACTATACATGTTCAAGATTCACATCCAACTGGGAACATAACATCTGGACGAGTGTACAATGGAAGCTCAACACGTATCTACCCAGCTAAACAATATAATTCAAGTTCATCACCTGTTAGACCAATTACACCTTCATCAGTCTATCCATCATATAATTCGTACAATTCAATATCGCGTGGTTCCGGCAGAGTTGTACAACCTCTACGTGTAAATGTATACAACAGGTTTGTTTACACGTTTTAATGATCACTTTTTATACTGCATTATTTCTGTCGACATTCTGAACTATCTCAGTAGGTATTTAGAATGGTCACTAAATAGTGTAAAATGTTGTGCACGTTTAGTCCTTGATGCCCAGTGATCAGCCAATATTCAGTCAGTGTGACCAATAGATATAGAATGTTAGTCAGACAGGAGGTCAGTCATGTGCCGTCTCAGACAGACAAATTGTTCGATCCGGGTTCGAATCTACAATAGACTGTCTGTCTACTCAAGACTAAAGCTATGTGGTACTGGCTAGTACCAAATAGCATGAAAAACGTCCGTTGTTCCTTATTAACTACCTCCACCCAGGTAATAAAGACACAGTACCTGTGATGTCGAGTCACTTGTGCTAGGGTTCAAACTGCTACATAGTCAATAGAGTCAGTACTAACAACTAGACGAGGATGATAGTGGAAATTGAAACTCTTGAGTCGTTAGAGTGAAAGAACTTTCAGATTTTATGACAAGAATAAAAAGCTGTAGATCACTAAGTTGGAATGCAAGAGTCTATCCATTTGATTTCGACCAACTCGTGGTATTCCCTATTTATGGCATAGTTTCATTTCATCAGCCAGAACTCATTACTTACGCTTCTACATGGTATTGTCTGTTTACTCCCCTACTAAATCTCCATCGTGGTTCATAAAAAGAAGAATAAAATTGAAAAATTAGAAATTTTCTGACTTGCAAAGGATTTCTCGGTAAGTTTTATGTCACTTCTTAAAATACCCCGATATTAGTAGTAGTTATCAACCAATGTAACTAATTGATTTTTCACTAATTATATTAGGAAATCAGTTTCTGAGAGTAAAGATAGGTACTAAAACAATTTCAGTAATTCTCATTTATTATATTATTACCATTTAATCTGACTCCATGAAGATTGAAAACAGTGCTTATCATTTTTTATGGCTTACATATGATTTTTTTATGTTAATGCAAAACATTCAGTAGTACTCTCACTTTAAACGTGAGTTAATCGCAATTTGTCTACTTGCAGCCAATCGGATCTTAATGATCACACAGTCTTATTCAGTGTCATGTTTTAGTAATAAGATTTTGTGAAGATGTAAATTTTCATGGATTATAGTATTTATTGATCATGATTAAACAATCATTGAAAAGCAGTTTTTGTTCTAGTCTAAGACTTGACAGTGCGCATCCACGAACACATCATTGGAGGCCTATCCCAGAAACCTTTGATTTCTTGAGCAAATGCCTAACCTCTAGACAGTCGTCCACCTTAGGTAATGTCATGTTTGTCGCTAATGTACTAATAAAATTATAAATTCGTCCTTAGAAGATGTTGAAATTTCAAATATGTTCACTGCATACTGATGTACATTGAAGAACTCTTATTGTTTTTCATATTGTTGACAAATCTACAAGAAATAAACAAGCGTTTCGGTATGCTTTGTTTCCTTAGCATTGAAAGCTTCCAAAAGCGTATTGAAAAATGTATTTATTGAAATTCAACGTAATTTTTCCGAAAAACTTCGGCATTATAGACCTAAGTCATCGGTTAAACTTCATGTGATCTGGGTCTTTTTGCGGCATCTCACTAAAATGTTAGCAAATAATATACAGTAAATAAAAAAATCGATCTGATTTTATCAATCCATTGGTCGAAACCTTGTTAGCAGTAAATCAAAGTGTTCATGTTCCAGTAAAATAATAAATTTGAATGGAATATTTTAGTGAGAGTATTCATTTAACTTTCGGAAGTAGATAAATGTGAGAATATATTCAGTTGGTGAAGAATGAAACATCTAATAATGTCAATTCTGTTCGTGTGACAGCCATTTGAATTATTTATTAATAAATATATAATACAGCCTAATGAACATCACAGATTTGTGTACTAGACTATGAAGTTTAGTGATTTTATTTAATTATTACTTCAAATGATAGATTAAATTTCCAGTAGGAAATGTGGGTCATTTAACTCGAACTCAGAAGTAGCGTACTTAACATGGGACCTAAAAGACCTAGATCCGGTCTCTGGGGGAATAATGGGTCATCAGTCCCTTGGGTTTCCAAACTAAGATAAAACAGCTGGTTAGTACTCTTTATTTTTGAAGGATTTCTGGTTCATATCAGTCCCTGACGAAAAGCGATTTCAACATAGACTGAATTCCGTAGGCTTCTGAAAACGATCACTCGAGACTTTTTAAACTAGATATACTACTTAGCATTCTTATGTATTATATGGAAGAAATGTATAACTAAATTAGTATTACTTAGTCGAAATTTTGTTTGTATATATATCTCTACTTTTAGCGATAATGCATCTACGGTATACAGTCCACATAGAAAAGTAGAAAGTTCTCCCAACTGGAATCCTAGTTCACCTATTTATCCAGCATATCCAGCCTATATGGATAAATCAAATCATGTTGATATTCAGGTGAATTTCTAATTACATTTTCTGTTTGTTTCATAAATTTTAAAATAACAGTGTCCTACTAACTATGTCGTTAAGTATATTCGCTTTAAATATTATGTTTTCTTCAATCTATAGTTGAACAATTTAAGTCTTATCAGAGGGAATAAAACTGGTTGATGTGTAAGATTGTGAATATGTTCTAGAAATTACTGTGGTAATCGGTAACTGTTCAATGAGTATACAAGCAAAAATTAATTTATGAAGTATACAACTTACAAGTGAAGAAATAATAATGACAAAGAGATATAAAACAACGATATATTTAGAGTATTAGTGATGACAGAAGGTTATTTCTTCAGAATTTCTTCACTAGGGTTTCAAACAAAAGAGTACTGGATTCATGGAACAATAGAAGTATGCTCAACAGGAAATTTGAAATAACATGCTAGTTGGTCTTATCACACGACTATGTGAGATCTGTGTTTTAGGTTTGTTTAAACGTGACAGTGTTAACTACAACCTTCAGAATAGTCTTCACCCATGGTATTCACAGTATCTAACGTATTGAGATCACACATATATTAACACACCAAATGCCCCGTCTAGTTCTAGTTTTTTAATAGTTTGAGGTCAAGTAACATAATATCACAATATTGTTCGTCATGTTAAGTGTGATAAATCAAAACAAATAAATTTCGGGATTAAATTACACCTCATCTCGCAATATTACGCTAATCTGCAGTACAAAACTCATGCAGCCAGAGAATCGAAACCGATCAGCTAGCTATATGAGACGGATATGTACATTATGCGTCGTATGAAAATGACTAATTTTGTACTATAAACGAATGCATCTGGGTTAGTGCGTGCATCAATACAACTCCCATCTTGTTTCCGATGAAAAAATGTCTGAAAAACCGTGTTTGTAGTCTCGTTACTAAGCCTCCTGAGTCATAATAATAGCACAGCTGCACGCCAAGCTACATTATGGACGCTTAACTTTACTACAATGTTAAACTCAGATAATCGCTACAGCAGAAGATAAAATTTTAGACGTCCCTATTAATACACCTTGTTTTTTGTCCAACGAGACCTGGCTGAATTATTTTAACCAAATAACACTAATAATACAACTAAAATGAAATGAAATAAAAGCACCAGTACAGCAAAGAATAACGTAACAGTATTCTAGCACATTGTGAAGATTTGCATTGTCATTTACTTTAACGCTTCTGGCTGACTGAATACACTTCATCGTTACATTTATAACCGAAGTTGAACTTTCGAGTACATTTCTTGACACCCCAAGTCAGGAGGGCCAATAAAATCACTCAATCCTCACAAACATGTGTACGATCAGACATTAATTTACACTTATCTTTCTTCTATAGATTGTATGTAGTACATAAGCTAAAGTATTCCACACCATGCAACAGTGTGAGAAAATTTTGTCTTTAGGCTTCTATGTCTGTATCTGCATACATTGATATTTGAGTTGATCTGGAACCAGAAACATTCATGGATATATTTGATTGTTGATTTTATGAAATTATCAATAGTATATTTGTATTGCATGTTACCTATGTTGACAGATATAAGTAGTATGTAGCACCAGTCCGAAGTGGAATGTATGTGAGCAGAAGATTGGGAAGACCCAAATAAAGAGGATAGAAAGGGAAAGTGAAAGTGATTTTAATAACAACAGAATTGAAAGAATCATGAAGCATGTAAAAGACGTTGATGGAAGATGTGCAATTTAGGTGTTTGGTGCGTGACCTTCATATTTTACGAAAGCACTCTGTAATTTTGGATTACCCAATAAACTGGTTATCCCCCACCAAGCCTTCATTCACTACGATTGGTGTCGCTGCCAAAGGGCAGAAAAAGAATATAGAATTCTGAGGACACCAATTTAAGGCCTAGATAAAAAAACGCTAGTTGGCGCGGTCCGGTGCATGGAGAGGACGTCTATTGGAGTGTTTTGGCGGGTCGGCATTGGCTGTTGACGGGAGGAGAAACCAGGCTCCGAGTTCTGTGTAAACATTTGATTTAGATGATATTGCAGGTTGGCATTGTTATGACGATCAGTGCGCTGGTGGGCTCGGCATTTCGAAGGAGAGCGTGGCACAGACTGAGACAAGGAAGAGAGCGACACGGCAGTGAGAACGACGGCAAGAGTGACTTTTATTTAAATCGAGAACTAGTATGGCGTATGCTACCTATGTTGACAGTTATAAGTAGTATGTCGCACCGATTACATTTTGATTGATTGTTTGCTTATTTATTTATGAACTACTCGTAGACTACATAACTTAAGTGTGGTGGGTTTATTTGGCGAATATTTTTCAAGTATGTGAGGGGATTTATATGAGTGAGGAAGATTGTGTGTGCTCATTTGGTCATAAGAAGAAACCTAGGATGAAATGTTATAACTTGAATAAATATATATTGTATACGAACTACTGTTAGACAGTATTTGAGATTCTACTTTTAGTAATCTACCGGGACAATAGTTTCTGTTCAAAAGGGGTTTCCTAATATCTTCTTACCTGTGCTCGTAAACTTTATTCAAATCAGAGTCTAGAACACGAACCCTCAGTAATTGAAGAAATGATATTTACGCAGTACACTTGTGTACACGGGAAGACATGACTGAACAAACCAGGCACAATGCAGTCGTGAAAGAACTTTGCATTGTAACTTATCTTCAAATTCAATAAAATCACCAAATGAATCCACTAAACAAACATTCGACCAAAAACTATTTTGTATAAAAAGAAACTATTCTTTAAAACAGTCAAAACACCATAAGTACTCTTTTCTAGTTACGTACGATTGCATATAACAACTTACTTGAATGTGTCAAAAAATATAGATTAAGAGAACATAGAGAATGATAAATATTTCTATTACTGAGTGCGCTTCAGTGAAATTAAGACTCAAAGACATCAAAAATGATTATTGTTCATTACCTCCACAATTGATCGGTAGCGATCATCTCGATTTTTTTAAGTAATCTGAAACGAATAGTAAATTAAGGGATAACTTTCTCATCCTTTGCTGAATCAGATGTTCTTATAAGAATGAACAAAACCTGTCATAATAAAACAAAACGTTGATTACCCTCCGCTTAACTATCATTGTTAATATTTTATTATATCTCAGACTAGTTATCTCATTCCCTTAATATTTACGTAGATCCTTCAAAATTTTATCAACATTTTACCAAATCTCCAGACGTATATATATCATACTATTTATTTACACTGAGAATAACAAGATTTAAAGCGTTCCGGTGATAATTTCTTAATTGGATCATGGTGCATTTTTACTGTACAACTATTCAAAATAGGTGTTTATATGATATACTTAATCATAATACCTTGTAAGCGTGAGAAAGGTGAACATTTCCCGTATGTTAAAAGCTTCGAAACGATAATTAAAATCCTCTTGAAAGAATATTTGATTGATTGGTTGTAAATTCAATGATTTTATTATTTTGCGGTTTTTCTATCTGACCATGTTGTTTTTAGCCTTTACGTTATAGACGAGAGCAATCTGTTCGACCAGTAACAATCTATTCAACAAATAATCCATCAACCAATACAACAATTGAAACGAAACAAGTATGGAAAGCTATACCAGCTCAGAATTGGTTAGATACACAAAGAACAGTACGTAGTGGTACATTTATAACTACAACGAAGAAAATTCCTAGTGGACGACGTCCAGATATTAACAATGATTCATCAGGTGTGTCAGAGTTTTAAATATCAACATCTGTTTCGATTTAACAACAATAACATTACATAACTACTTATATATTGTCAAATATGAAATAAAAAAGCATTTTTACATTTCTAGTAATCAATATGACATCGGAAAATATTATAGAATTAGAAGAGTTCAATTGAATAGGAATTGTTCTTCATTTTAGTAAGTTATTTCCCAAGATTACATCTAGTCATTTATTTTACCCTCGTTTTAACGCTATTTAAATCATCAACTAAGGTAACATATTTGTTTGCTTCTTTTTGCTTTGATTTTAACAACAAATATATAAGATGACTCTTTTGTTTTGTTTAGTTTTTTCGTCATGGTTTTCGTCTACAAACACTAATGAGATAAAAAAAAGAAAAGTTAATAATGAATTTATATAGAATTATTGTTATTATTATTATTACACTTTTTTGTCTTCTCAAAAATTGATTCTCATTACGTTCCTCTTTCTCCTCTTACTTAAGTGTTATTTCGTAGGATTACAGTTTTATTTTCATTTAAGTTGAAGATTATAATTCTTCAATTTATTTTGTTGTAATTCATTGATATAAAATATTATTTATCTTCAAAATTGCATGAGTTTATTGTATTAGTTATATAATATTTGTTTTATTCACTTAAAACTATTTTTATTGTTTCCATTGTTTCAATTATTATGACAATCATAGCTACTAAAGTTATTATTGGTTGTTATTCATTTCTATTAATCATTGGCTTTATCCTTTCAGAATCTCTTATTGAATTTAATCAAGTTACTTTATGATATTTTTTAACTTCATGGCATGATACGCTTTAACTAAGCTTTTGTCTTTTTTTTTAATTTTCCAAAAATCGAAACATGTACTTGTTTTCTAAATAAAATCTTTCATTTAATTTATTAAATAACACAATGAAATACAAACATTAGCAAAGATACATACATACTGAACATCACATTAAACGAATCTTCAAAGGATTATATATATATATATATATATATATATATATATATATATATATTGTGATTGAAATCCCCTTATGATTTGATTAAACAAATAAACTACCTTCCTTTATTGATCCAAAGTGTTGTGTTTTCTTTTCAACAAAAAAAGTCTTTTAAGCCTACTTTTTCAACAACAAAAATTACTCACAATTGAATCATTTGACAACTGTCATTGGAATAATCGTACAGATTATTAAAGTAAAATGTATCAAATTAATAAACAACAGAAGGGGGAAAATCTTAGTAATTTCATAGTTGAATTCATGAGTTAATTGAAGCTAGACCATCATGGAAAACCTGGGAGCAGTAGACGGCCGTTTCGTTTTACTATGGGACTTTTCAGTAATGCTCATCCACGATTCCACCTTTCGAGATTCGAACCAGGATCTATCGGTCTCGCGTGTGAACTCTTTTTACCATCAGACCACTGAGCCGGCATTCAATGGTGTCAATGTCTAAGTTCAACTAATCCACGAAGTCGCGCCAGCGTCCACCATAATCTTCAGTGAGTTACTATTTCACAACAGATCTGGTTGAAATCCACTGGTCATAGCTTTTCACTAGAACTCCAGGAAATACCTCTTGAAGCCAGTCACTAGTGAGCATATGTCGATTAATATCAGAAGCGGTTTTTGTGGGGATTTTAGTAATTTAGTAGTTGAATTCATGAGTCAATTTAAGCTATACCAGCATGGAAAACCTGGAAGCACTGGACAGCTGTTTTCTCTAAGTATTGGACTCTTCAGCAGCGCGGGATTCCAATCAAGGACCTATCGTTCTCGCGCGCAAGAACACTTGACCTATGTATTGCTTCCAGGTTCTCCATGGCGGTCTAGCTTTAATTGACTCATTAATTCAACTGCTAAATTAATAAATAATAGTTAATTTCTGTCTACGAAACCATAATTGTTACAACTTAGTCAATGTTTTTATCAACTAGAGCAATAAGTACATTATATATATTTAACCATTTTTTATGAAGTAATTAGTAGTTCAGTAAAATAGTTTCCAATTTTTTGTTCCTAGATTTATTTGGAATTGAAATGAATTATCTCGATCGCATATTTTCGAAATGTTTGTGCTTGTATAGAGCCACCTAATTTTGGTGTGTGTGATTAATAAAACAGAATGCTTAGAAGTAAGGTGTTTGCAGATCCTAAACGTTTCCATTATTTAATGTCTATTTTAAGATTTCAATGACATCTTTGTTCATGTAACTAATTTTGAGATGGTGGAGAAGATTTATTATTCAAGTGGATGATTTAGATGGCTTTTATTACTGACGTTTAATCTATCGTTGTCTACACCCTTATTTTGATCGCATCTCCCTTTGATAAGATTCTTGATCCTATATTTGTAGATACTTTTTTTGGTTGGCTGATAGATTGGATCGATTTCAATATATTTATTGATTGCTGATTGACCTGGGTGTCAAGCTTCTAGAAATTTTCTAGTGATTTTAGTATCCTCTCCATTCAAATTCTCAACCTTTTTCAGTTCAATATGTGTCCACATTTCTCCACACGCATTGATATTAACTAAGATATGCCATGGTGTTTAATCGCTAATTGATGTTCGTGCAAGAGACGATAAAGGAGGGGTCTACTTTGTTCGATTCAGTGATTTCCTCAGTTTTAACTGTTTTGTAGGTGTAGGATGTAATTAACTATAGAAGAAATTCTAAAGTACTCTCCAGACTACCGAGCACAGAGTTTTAGCTTAGAAAAAGTCACAACAAGTAAGGTATTTGGCTTGATAAACTTTATCTGTTTTTAAAACGTAAATTAACTCTGTTAGTATGCAAAAAGCAATAATACATTCTGTTAAATAGGGGGAAAAAGAAACATAAATAACATGTTGGACAGTAACTAGTGCATAGGAAAAATGAGTCAGCAAACCATGTATCATTTATGAAAAACATAACAATTATGATTGTTGAATAAACAAGGAACAGTCATCCAAACGGCTTTAGTAATATCGTCGCAATTTCTGATTTGTCTTTTACAAATGGTACGATGATCCGTTTGCTGATTTTTGTACTTGCCTTCGTTTCCGCTGATGAGTTATGTTGATATTTTCTGATGAATTTGATTGAGTAGCCGTTCTTTCGAAAGATAGTCTTTAGATATTTTTCTTCACTTTTTCGCGTAGTAAGTGTGCTGCAGTGTGTTCTTTTCTCCTTGAATAAAGATTGTACGTAGTTGATTTCGCGAGTTCTTCGGTTGTTGCTACTTTGATTTAGAATTTGACCTGTGTTGGCCCGCTTCCGATACACTTGAGTCTCTATTTCTTTGGTGTCGGTTCTGGTGAATAGTGATAGTTTGTTGTTCGAATCCTTTTTCCACTGTGAATTTTATGTCATCAAAAACGTTAGGATTACTTTAAATTTCAAAAGTTGAGATTAACCCAAATATAATTTTTACATATAATAATATTCATAGACTTATTCTTGTCGGGCCAATGTGTTGTAGTTTCCGCCGTATAAATTTGACTCTATAGATAAATTGTCCCAAATATGTTAGTTTACTAATAATACATTGATCCACTTAATATCAACAGCGTAACACTGAGATTCGAAAAAAGAAGTTGCGGGATATCGTGTTTCAAACGAACTAAATCGTTTGCTGTGGTTCATTCGCATACTCGCTACATCGAGTCCCTCCTTCGTAACGTTTATATTCGACTAACCAGTCACAAATGATTATAGGAAGTTCTTGGATTCTGCCGTTCAACATTTTTATTAAATATCGTAATAACGATTATCCGACATCCGTTTTATTGATAATAATACCGACTTTATTCAAAACTCTATGTTCAGCACAATATGGATTTCTCAGTACAAAATGAAGCAGATGAACCTAAGACTACATAACTGGAAGACAAACGTCTTAACCTCTAGGTTAATGCTACACTACTCTAATTACTTCCATTCAAAATCTGTTAACACGCGTCCAAATTTAAGTTTGCTTAGCTAAATTTCTGTTTTTTTCACGTTACTCTGCCACTCAAATGTTTTTATTTCATTTTATAGTTTCTGACGAAACATCACTTTATACTGAACTCACAAGCAATAGAAAGTTTTGGCTCTGATCTCGTGAATTACTGAATATTTACTATGAATGTTACTCCTTGAAACCGTAACATTTAGGCCTATTTAAACAACTTTTCGGCGAGACTCTAATTTAGCGACGAGCCAATCAGAAGCGTTTGAGCAATTTCAAGGTCACGGAGCCAAGTTCAACACGCGGTGCTAACATACGGTCGGTTCACAGCGGATTTTAGAGAGGAGGTGATTAATGAGAGGTTAAAACAGATGGGACGGCGAAACTCTAATTTAGGGACGAGCCAGTGAGAAGCGTTTGAGCAATTTCAATTATTAGCCAATCAGAAGACAGTATAAAGTAAGAATATATTACAAGAAAGTAATGAATTACAGTGGATATTCTTCTTTTACATGAGTTAAAAACTTGTTGAGGTTTGATAAAGGCTCAGAAGTTCTGAATTCATAATGCATATTGTATAGAAACTCGTCCATAAGGTTAGGGTTTGGTGTTAAGTTTAGGGTTAAGGGTTAGGTTAAGGTTAAGGTTAGGGTTAGATTAGGGTTTAGGGCTAAGGTTAGGGTTTAGGGTTAGGGTTAGGTTAAGGTTAGGGTTTGGGGTTAGATTAGGGTTTAGGGTTAGGTTAAGGTTAGGGTTTAGGTTTATGGTTAGGGTCAGGTTAGGGTTAGGGTTAGATTAGGGTTTAAGGCTAAGGTTAGGGTTAAGGGTTAGATTAGGGTTTAGGGTTAAGGTTTGGGTTAGGGTTAGATCAGGTTTTAGGGTTAGGTTAGGGTTAGGGTGCTAACATGCGATCGGTTTACATCGGATTTTAGAGAAGAGATGTCTATTGACAGGCGACAACCCTAACCACTAACCCTATGGACGAGTTTCTATACAATATGCATTATGAATTGAGAGCCTCTGAACCTTCATCAAACCTTAACAAGTTTTCAAATCATGTAAAAGAAGAATATACACTTTAATTCATTACTTACAATATATTCTCACTTTATACTAACTGTCTTCTGATTGGCTACTAATTGTTAAGGTCATTTAAGATTCGTTCAAAGGTCGTCGCTAAATTAGCGTCTCGCCAACTTTTCTTGTCTAAATTTCCTCAACAGGTGCAAACTGTGATTGTCTCGTTTCAAAACAACGCCTCAGACGCGCTAGCTACATCTGCCGACCGCATTTTAGAAATTACGAAATCTTCTACTACAGAGGTTTTTCAGTCAAAGAAAAGCCTCACACGACTCAGAATGATATAACCGACTTATGTCATACACTCACGCGTTATCTTAATCTTCGTAACGACCGTTATCGCTCGCACACCCCACGTAGAAGCACTTCACGTAAGCGATCTGCCTCTAGACCACGAGAGACGGATAACCCCACTGGTGCTGGTATCATAACCAGTATGGAAAGTCTTCCAGAAATTGCAGAAAACCCTGCAATTTTCCCAACACGAAACCGACTGACTCGAAAAACAACTCGGGAAACTTCCAAGCCGGCACGCGTTGACGGCAACCGTAACCGGCGAACATAGCCGTCTGTTATACGTCACAGACGTGACAACGAGAGTTCGCTACCACGTCGACACTGGCGCGGGAGTTAGCGTTCTCCCAACGAATCCCAACGATCGGCTTCACGATTCGGCTCTTAACTTACAGGCGGCAAACGGAAAACCGATCGCTACGTATGGCAAAAGGTACGTTTACCTTAACGTGGGTTTACGCAAACCCATTCACTGGATTTTCGTTGTTGCAGATGTTTCTATGCCAATCATTGGTATGGACCTTCTACAACACCATAATCTGATCATCGATACGCGCAAACGGAGGCTAGTAGATGGAAACACTAACTTGTCCGTTTGCGTAACTTCTTTTTCTGGTTGCAGATTATCCCCAGTCACAATTAAGCATATGATAGACCCACTCTATCAACCACTACTCGATAAGTACCCTGGGATTCATCAAACGCAACCGAAACTACCGTGTGTAACCAGAAACGTTACACATCACATCACGA